AGAGATAGATTTTCTTGTAGCAAAGAGGGTTAAACAAGCTGCAAGGATAGGAGGAAATGTTATTTGTTCCCCATTCTTGACATGCTTTTTGAATGAAGGCACGCATTTGCATATAGGAAAAAAATTACTAGATGGAAGAACATATTTGAACTGAACAGTTATAAAGGGACAAACCCTATTTTCAGAATCTAGCAGATCTTCTGTCCATAAAATACTGTAATTGGTTTATCTTAATTACCTCGTGGAAAGCAAATGAAGTATGAATAGGTAGATATGGGGAAATTCAACCTGAAAAGTAGTGTAATTTCCTGTTTCTCTCGATGGTATTAGTGTATCTCAGAGTAATACTTTGTTTCACCAGCTACCTATCGTGAGTAAATACAAAGAATGGAGAAGCCCACTTAACGACCATGGGTGATCTGTTGCACCAACCCCAGATTAACAAAAAGTAGTGTGTTTCACGTCCAGTTCCCCATATAGCAAAGTATACCAGCAGTATTGTATAGATAAAGATCAGGGAAATTAAGGGTCATCACAGCTATATGCCAAGATCAGTTTACAATCAATATTCTTTCTTTTCACCATAAGAACTTTACAAATCTGGTTATGTCCGAATGTTTGAGTAGAGGACAGGGTTCTGAAGAGAATACAAAAGTCTTGTAAAGCTAATTATTTCAATAAGATGACATCTACCCCTCAAAGAAAGTGGCAACTCTTTCTATGAAAATTCCTGAAGGATTTTTTAAAAAATGAGAGGAAAATTCAGATTATACTGTATATGGTAAGTCTATTGCATTCCTTGAGAATTTTATGCCTAAATAAGTAAATGATTCCTCTGTTCTTTTGAGACCTATCAAGCTCAGCCATTCAGAATCTACATGGGAATCAACTTTACTTAGGAACAGAATCTCACTTTTTGAACGATTTATTTTTAATCCCCAAAAAAAAGAGTCAAACTTTTCTATATATCTCATGGTGCAATCTAGGTGGTCCAGGGTTAGAGAAAAAAAGTAAAATGTTATCTGCATTCATATAAAGAACAGGGTTTTTTGTACTTATCAAACACATATCAAAATGTTTACAACTATATATATACCAGTCCAAAATGGAGCAAATAAAATAAGTTCATTGTTAGGATTTACATACAGTTTTAAAGCAGATCTAAAGCCAACTAAGACCCCAACCAATAACCCGTGCCCTCTTCTCTGTAACCTAATCCCCTCAGGTTCCCGTCCTGATGTTACAATTGACACTTGAGTTGCAGCAAAGGGTGGGTTCTGTACGAACTCTGTTCTGTAACCAAAAGCTGGAGGGAGCCCAGAGAACATTCAGCTAAGGGGTGATTTTTGAAGTTCACTTTAGAGAGCAGAGGAGGTTTGGTTGGAAAGCTTGAATGTTAGTTGGATTTAGAACAATTGATTACTGTCAGTAATACTTTTTTATTTGCACTAACATCCAATTTTTCAGGACGTGCTTTTGGGGGTGTGCCGTCTTCTTCAAGGCCCAAGCAACAGTCCTTGAAGAAGGGAACACACCCCAAAAGCTTGTCCTGAAAAATTGGATGTTAGTGCACATGCATGCATTCAGACATACAGCACAAGAATTCAGCATCATTCCTAGTCCAAGAGTCACAGGTGTTGGCATAAAGTTGCGACCAACAGCTTGTAAAAAACAAAAACAAGCTTTCAGAAGCTGCAACTGTATGCTTGTGGCTGTACATACAAATATACTGAATTACTGCACTGTATGCCTGTACAAGCACATAAAATAAATGTCATCTAGTTTACTAAAACACTGAGTAACAAACAATTGTTTTATTTTAACTGCTTTACGACCACCCTATAGCAGAAATACTGCTACAGTGCAGCACATGTGATTTTGCATTTCCGGGTAGGGACGCCATCCGCGGCTGTCAATCACTGAGTCCCGGCCTGTGATTACTCGCCAGCGCCCAGTGATTGCCGAGGATCTCCAACGGAGAGAAGAACTGTTTGTAAACAAAACAGTTCTCCTCCCTGTTAGCTGAGGCACACTGCTTTGAATGGCTGTGCACAGCACAGCCATACAAGGCAGTGTGCTTGCAGTGAAGCACGAACACACTGCCCCCTAGTAAAACACACCCAGCACACAGTTAACCCTTTGATCACCCCTCATGTTAACCCCTTCCTGCCCAGTGCCATTAGTACAGTGTCAGGGGTTTTTTTTTTTAGAACTGATCACTGTATTGGTGTCACTGGGGATGTCAGTGACACCAAGTCAGTTTCCCCCAGTGTCAGAATGCCTGCCGCAGCCCCGCTGATCACCACCATTACTAGTAACAAAAAAAAATAAAATTCCAGTATATATACTGCAATTTGTAAATGTTATAACTTTCACATAATCCAATTAAATTACATGTATTGGGATTTTTTTTTTTTAGCAAGACAAGTAGCAGAATACATTTTGGCCTAAGTTTATGACAAAATTTGATTTTTGAAATTTTTTCTACTGGACATGTTTAATAGCATAAAGTCAAAAATATAGTTTTTTTTCTCAAAATTGTCGGTCTTTTTTTTTTATAGCGCACAAAATAAAAAACACACAGGAGATCAAATACCACCAAAAGAAAGCTCAATTCATGGGGAAAAAAGAACGTAAATTTCAATTGGGTGCAGCATTGCATGACCGCGCAATTGTCAAAGTAACGCAGAGCCATAACACAAAAAATGGCCTGGTCAGGAAGGGGGGTAAATCCTCAGGAGGGTAAGTGGTTAAATTAAAAAAACACTGGAGTTAGGGTGAATATTGCTTCGAGACGTGGTGCAGAGAAATTGTTTTTTAATAGTTTATTAATTTTTTTGAAAAAAGAGTCATAGTACACATTTGTGATAATGTTTATAATGATACAGTTATTAACGTTGTCCATCACAGATAGAGAAATCGTCTATTATGTGAGTACGAATAGCATAAGAACACAACAGTTGCAACTGGAGAAGTGGTCACAATATCAATTCAGTTATCCTATGCAGCCATACATGTAGTAGGCACTAGAAAATGGGTAGAAGAAAGGAAGTAAGGAAGAAAAAAAGAGGGAAGGCATGGTGAAAGGAGGGGAAGGAATGAGCTCCAGTGACTCAATCAAAACCAAAATTCGCCAAAGGGGAGGACCCCCTGATCTCACAGGTCTAGCAAATGACGGTCAAAATTAAGTGGCAGAAAAAGTGAGATCCATGGTCCCAAATTTTGTGGAACTTAGCCATAGAGTCTGTAAGTCTTTGCTTTAATTTCTCATTAGAGAACGTCATCAACTGTTGCCTAACCCTCAAAGTTTCTAGAGAGGAAATCAGTTAGCCAGGCCTTAGCAATGCTGGGTTTGGTTGCTGTAAGGACTTGTAACATCAATTTAAATTGACATTTAATAAGCCTATCAGGTTTGAGGTTAATCAATGCCTCACTAGGCGTTGGAGGGATGATGAAGCCTAATATTGGGACCAATATATTATAAACTGGAGTCCAGAGTTGTTGGACAGTCGGGGATGTTCACTATATATGATTGTAAGTTTTCGACTGCGAACATCCTCGGAAACATAGACTCATATGGTTTGGAGTGTAACATGCATTTCTGGTTGAGACTAAGTACCAGTGGTACAACACCCTATAGTTGGGAGCAGGATATAGTAGAGTCCCAAATCTGAGATAAAGTAATACATACGGAAAGCTGTTTTTTTTAGAACAATACTTTCTTTTCGTGATATTGTCTTGCAGAAATTATTTAATGTTTCATGTAATCCATAGACAAAAAAAAACTAGGAAAAAGGCTCCATCGTCTGTTGGACCATATTGGTTCATATGTCAACTGACCCCTTGTGTTTGGTTACTGTTTGATCCAACATGTTAATGGTGCTTGATATTCTACATTTTCTTGCGTGGAGTCAATCTTCACTTATGATTGCTGTTAATTTACATATGATGGCCTTTGTGTTGTTCAATAAAAATGTTTTTTATTTCATCTGTGTTGGTTAAAAAAACATTATATTATTTGTTCCATTAGTAAAATTATGATTTTGGTACAAAGCTTTGCAAAGTTATATAAATACAATAGAGCCTTTATTTCTTATAATTTTGCACTTTTATTTTAATATAACAATAATTGATACAGTTGTCCTTGTTATCAATTGTTATGTTTTAGATTTACAGACAGACTCTTTCGATCACTCTCTTTTTAACTCCTTGGCACTAGCCGCACGTATATATGTGGCCTTAACGACGAGAGGCCGCATATATAAGTACCTAAAGATAAATAGACCTGTGCCAAGAGCGTGTGCCCCACGCATAGTTACAGTTGTGTTCAAAATAATACCAGACATCACTAACCCGATCAATCACTGTTTTTGGTAGAAATGATATTTCTACATGGCAAATAATTTACTAGCAGGTGTAGTAGAGTAATAGAAATCCAACAGACCCAACAGACATGACATGCATGCTGCTGATTCTGTGTAATTGAATCACTAATTGAAAGGGGCATGTTCAAAATAATAGCAATGTGGAGTTCTATTAGTGAGGTCATTCATTCTTTGGAAAACAGGTGGCAATTATTGCGCTTATTTAACTACCTGCCGACCGCAGATAGCCGAATGACGGCTTCACTGCGGCCGGCCAGTTCTGAGTGGACGTCATATGACGTCCCCCCAGAACGCGCTCTCCTGCACGCCCCAGGGGGCACGCACCCGGCGATCTCCGTGATCGCTGTGTCCTACGGACACAGCTGATCACGTGATGTGGTAAAAGGCCAATCACAGCGGCCTTTTACCACCTGATCAGCGGTGTCCAATGACATGCTGATCAGAGGGAAATGCAAGTGCCGGTTCTCGGCTGCACTTTCCTCACGCTGTCAGATCGTGAGGAAAGTACTGCCGAGAACCGGCAGTTGTCAGAGCGGGGATCGGCACCGATCAGCAGGGCACTGATGATCAGTGCCCTGATGATCGGTGCCCAGCAGTGCCACCCGCAAGTTCCGCCCACCTGTGCCCAGCAGTGCGCCCACTAGCTCCGCCCACCTGTGCCCAGCAGATCACCCACCTGTGCCCAGCAGTGCACCCACCTGTGCCCAGCAGTGCACCCACCTGTGCCACTCTGCAGTGCCACCTACCTGTGCCCAGAAGTGCCACCTACATGTGCCCAGCAGTGCCACCCACCTGTGCCCACCCACCTGTGCCCACCAGTGCCACCCACCTGTGTCACCCACCTGTGCCCACCCACCAGTGCTGCCCACCAGTGCCACCCACCAGTGCAGCCCAGCAGTGCTGCCAGTCAGTGCCACCAGTCAGTGCCCAGGGGTTGTGCCAGTCAGTGCCACCAGTCAGTGCCCAGCAGTGATGCCAGTCAGTGCCGTCTATCAGTATCCATCATCAGTGTCACCTATCAGTGCCGCCTATCAGTGCTGCATATTAGTGCCGCCTATCCGTGACACCTCATTAGTGCTGTCTTTCAGTGCCGCCTATCTGTGCCACCTCATTAGTACTGCCTATCAGTGCCCTTTAGTGCTGCCTATCAGTGCCCATCAGTGCTGCCTCATCAACGCACATCAGTGAAGGAGAAAAAATGCCTGTTTGAAAAATTTTATAATAGAAACAAAGAAAGTTTTTTTTTTTTCAAATTTTTTGCACTTTTTATTTATAGCGCAAAAAGTAAAGCGCCCAGTGGCGATTAAATACCACCAAAAGAAAGCTCTATTTGTGGGAAAAGAATTATCAAAATTTCATATGGGTACAATGTTGCATGACCGTGCAATTGTCAATCAAAGTGCGGCAGCGCTGAAAGCTGAAAATTGGCCTGGTAAATAAGGGGGTATAAGTGCCTGGTAGGCAAGTGGTTAAGGAAGGAAGGCAGCAAACATTGTACATGCTGGTTACAGTGCATTTCTCTGAAATTCTGAGGAAAATGGGTCGTTCCAGACATTGTTCAGAAGAACAACGTACCTTGATTAAAAAGTTGATTGGAGAGAGGAAAACATATAAAGAAGTGCAGAAAATGATAGGCTGCGCAGCTAAAATGATCGCAAATGCTTTAAAATGGCAACCAAAACCTGAAAGACGTGGAAGAATGTGAAAAACTACCATTCGAATGGATAGAAGAATAGCCAAAATGGCAAGGACTCAGCCAACAATCAGCTTCAGGAAGATCAATGAAGGTGTAAAGTTCCCTGTGAGTACTGTTACAATTAGAATACGCCTATGTGAAGCCAAGCTATCTGCAAGAAGCCCCCCGCAAAGTCCCACTGTTGAAAAAAAGACATGTGCTGAAGAGGTTACAATTTGCCAAAGAGTACATTGACTGGCCTAAAGAGAAATGGCGCAACATTTTGTGGACTGATGAAAGAAAGATTGTTCTTTTTGGGTCTAGTGGCCGGAGACAGTTTGTCAGACGACCCTCAAACACTGAATTCAAGCCACAGTACACTGTGAAGACAGTGAAGCATGGTTGCGCAAGCATCATGATATGGGGATGTTTCTCATACTACGGTGTTGGGATTATTTATCACATACCAGGGATCATGGATCAGTTTGAATACATCAGAATACTTGAAGAGGTCATGCTGCCTTATGCTGAAGAGGAAATGCCCTTGAAATGGGTGTTCCAACAAGACAACGACCCCAAACACACCAGTAAACCTGCAAAATCTTGGTTCCAGACCAACAAGATTGATGGTATGGAGTGGCCAGCCCAATCCCCGGATCTTAGTCCAATAGAAAACTTGTGGGGTGACATCAAAAATGCAGTTTCTGAGGCAAAACCAAGAAATAGAGAAGAACTGTGGAATGTAGTCCAATCATCCTGGGCTGGAATACCTGTTCACAGGTGCCAGAAGTTGGTTGACTCCATGCAACACAGATGTACAGCAGTTCTCAGAAACAGTGCTTATACAACTAAATATTAATTAAGTGATTCAAAGGAAAGCAAAATCTTCAAACATTTTTCAGTTTATATAGTGAATGTTTGAATTTGTAAAGAAGAATACAAACACTGCTATTTTTTTGAACAGTCTAATATTCACTTTTCTTCAATTTCTTTTAGAGGAACAACACAAATTTGATATATTTTTTCTTCATGTTTTGATTTGGAATAGAATGTGTAGTGTTCCCAATGCATTTGTGTGTATGGAAATAAAAGCTATTAGGATTTTGAGCTTTATTCACTTTTTTCAACGCACTGCTATTATTTTGAACACAACTGTACCAGCTGCTAATGGAAAGCTGCCGATCTCTACTTGTGATTGGGAGCTTTCCGGTCATGTGACCACTGTGACAGCCAGTCACATGATCAGAAACCTCACTGTCACCACACAGCATCTAAAACCCCTTAAAGGGCCAGGAGGCAAAATGTGCACTAGGACAACCCCAAAACATAGTTTATCTCAAACTTCAAAAGCAGGCCTTGAGGGGAGAGACAGAACAGGAAGTCTGTCACATGTTTAAGCTACCGATTGGTAAGGTCATCAAACATTGCTAACACAGAATGATACCTCTCTAGCGCACCCTGCTGGACCAAGCTCAAACAGCACGTGGAAGAGAAAATATACTCTAAGCATAGAGATCACTCCTGGTGAGGTACAGATATGTTGAGAGCAGCCCAAATATTTGCTACAGAATCGCAACAATGCAAAATTGAATTTTGCTAAATGTTTTTAAAAGTTTAAAGCTTAATTTTTTTAATGTTGTTTGTGTAATATTACTTTAGTGATAAATCCAGATATTATAAAAACACCATTTTCGTTAAAAAATCATTAAATATATTACATCTGTATAGATACATGATACAACTACTAAAAAAAATCTTTGCACCAACATACCTCATATCGCCTGCCAATGTATGTTCATCTCCTGACCAGAAACCTCCAGGTACTAGCACAGTTCGCAGGGCACTGTACTGTTAGTTAGGAAACCATTTTGGTATGCAGCCCGTCAAGCTTGTCAGAAAGTTTGGAGTGTTTAGACGCATCTTAAGGAGCGTAGATCAGAGAAAATTATTTTTATGTCTCTTGGCATCTTTACAGTTGAACCAAAATGCATCATACTGTATTTAGCTTTCAGGGATTACCAAATGCTCTCAGTTGGCTATGGAATTTATTGATTCAAATGGCAATATAATAAGATAAGTTTTCCCTCATGAAGAAGACAGAATCATTGATTGTGTTTGACAAGCAATTGTTAGCACAGCACACAGATTGACAAGGGGATAGTAGAAACTCTAGTAATTCATACATTGAATACATTTTTATGATTATTAGACAGGCCATCAAATGCATTTTCACATTTGTTATTTATATGAAGCATATTATAGTATTTGGTGACATTTCGTACTGGTTTTTCCAGCTTGGGCTGCTGTTGAATTATCAGTCCTCTTGCTGCAGGTGGAGATGTCTCACTCCTCCTGTTTTATTTATTGTAACGTAAAACATACTAAAAAAATCAAGAAAAAGAAGGAGAAGCCTTTATAAAGGCTATTGGATGATTGTTGCATCAATATATAATTTGGTCACTTGGCCACCCTAAGTCTAGGTATAATAGGATGTATTGCACACTTTGAAGAGGTAATGTCTATCTAGTATCTAATGAGTCAGGTTTTCTGTTGGAATAATGTGTTGTGAAGAAGGAGCTTTGCTGCATGTTGATTTGTAGCCAGTGGCTGTGTGCAAGAATCTGGCATCCTGACAGCAGCTCTAAAAGTTGAATGTGCTTGGAAAAGGTACTGCAGTCTGTGTGTGAAGTTCTCACCCTTCCAAGTCATGAGAAGAGAACGTCTCAGTCTGCTTTGGCATTGATGTACTTTCTATATTTGTTTTTAAAATGGAGAACAGATTTTCATGTTTGACAATAATTTTGAGGATTAAAAATAAGAAGAAATGCACACAAAAGCTTAACACATATTATCCGGGCTTTTTTTCAGCGGGAACTTTGGGGGAATGCAGTTCTGGCACCTATACCACTGAATATAGGTAATTATTATTATTATTATTACATCGAATTTATATAGCGCCAAAGGGTTTGCTCAGCGCTGTACAATAGGGGGGGGGGGGGAACAATACTTGAAACAGCACAGCAACAACAAGCAGCACATGAGGGGTTAGAGGGTCCTACTCTTTCGAGCTTACAATCTAGGAGGGAGGGGATAGTGGTACAGGAGGAAGTGGCTGTGGGGGATGGAGTGGTAGGAGAAATGGAGGACGGCTGTTAGGTAAGGGTGGGGTAGGCTTCCCTGAAGAGGTGGGTTTTCAGGGAGCACCTGAAGGTGAGGAGGGAAGGCGACAATCTGATGGATTGGGGCAGTGAGTTCCAGAGGATGGGGGAGGTCCTGGAGAAATCTTGCAGTCGTGCGTGGGAGGAGGAGACCAGGGAGCAAGACAGAAGGAGGTCCTGTGAGGAGCGAAGGGTACGGGTAGGGTGGTACTTGGGAATCAGGTTGGTGAGGTAGGTAGGGGCAGTGTTGTGAATGGCTTTGTAGGTCAGAGTCAGTAGTTTGAATTTGATGCGTTGGGCAACCGGGAGCCAGTGGAGGGAATGACAGAGGGGGTGGCAGAGGTGGAGCGGTTGGTGAGGTGGATGAGTCTAGCCGCTGAGTTCAGGATGGTCTGAAGCGGGGAGAGCCTGCAGTGGGGTAGGCCGGTGAGAAGGGAGTTGCAGTAGTCAAGGCGTGAGACAATCAGGGAGTGAACGAGTAGTTTAGTGGTGTCTGGGGTAAGGAAGGAGTATCTTGGCGATGTTGCGGAGGTGGAGCCTTCATGTGTTTGTAAGTGATTTGACATGAGGTTGGAAGGAAAGGTTTGAGTCCAGAGTCATGCCAAGGACTTTGGTTTGCTGGACGGGATTGATGGTGGTGTTGTTGGTAGTGATGGATAGGGTGGGGGGGGGGGGGCGTGGGCAGGGGGAAAGATGAGGAGCTTGGTTTTGGAGAGGTTAAGCTTGAGGAAATGGAGCGACATCCAGTCTGAGATGTCATTTAGGAGGTGAGTGATGCGGGCGGAGACTGTGGGGGTAAGGAGAGGGGTGGAGAGGTAGATTTGAGTGTCATCAGCGTAGAGGTGATAGTTGAAGTCGTGGGAGTGTATGAGTTTGCCAAGGGAGGAGGTGTAGATGGAAAAGAGAAGGGGTCCAAGGACAGAGCCTCGGGGGACCCCAACAGAGAGGGGGAGGGAAGGGGAGGTGGCACCGTTGTAGGAAACGCTGAATGAGTGTCGGGATAGGTAAGAGGAGAACCAGGAGAGAGCAGTGTCTCTGATGCCAAGGGAGAGTAGTTTATTATTAGGAGGGGGTGGTCAACTGTGTCACTGGCCGCGGAGAGGTCTAGGAGAAGAAGGACAGAGTAGTCGCCTTTGGCTTTGGCGAGTAGTAGGTCGTTAGTGATTTTGAGGAGGGCGGTTTCGGTGGAGTGTTGGGGACGG